TAAATCATCTGACAAAGTTCTTGCAGCATAGCATGTTGTCTAAAAACTGTTCATCCCGCATCTGTCTCATTCTTTGCAATATCAGAGCTGCTGTAGTTGTGTAGATGATGTGCTAATCCCCTTCATTTCTGGCCAGTGCTTTCTCTTGAAGCACTAGGTGATGCTTTCTCTTGATGTGCTCTCTCTAACAGCCCGAGCATACACCTTTCTTAGACTTAACAGGCTGACACTTAAGGGAAGTAGTTAACTGCTTCCCTTTAGTCTAGGAGCCAAGACCAAATAGAAACCTCTACAGAAGCCATATGGAAGCTGGAGGAAGAACTTATTGCCCCATCAAGAGCTAATGACAGTGAGACAGAAGGGGAGATAAATTTCCCACTAACAAGCAGAGCCACCCTCCCTCTTAGCTTGCATTTTTTAGCCCTGTGGATGTGCCCAACACCCCATGCAGGACTGTGGGATAGGATCCCTCACTCCCTGTCCCAGCAGTGAGTGGCCAGACCAGCACCCCCAATGAGACACCCTGCTTCCTGTATGCTTACTCTCTTCTATCTGCATGCGCCTTAAAAGGAGTTATTAAAGACTGCCTGGAATGTTTTAACGTGTTCTTCTGATTTAAGGGCATCAAATTCAGATACTGTATCTCTGGCAGTGCTAGTTTTGCTATTTCCCTCAATTCCCAGCAGAAATTAAGCAGAGGATCTGGGATACAGATGTTTGAGATTAATGGGATTGCTCAGGTATGGAAGCAGTGACAAAATGGAAAGTTATTCCTAGTAGAAAACGTAATTATTCCCTCTCAGATCTTCAGTTTGACAGTAGCACTAGCATCAATTATTCTCTGTTGGGAATATTCCTTTTTAACGAGGTTCACTGTAATATCATCCTTTCCCAGTAGTATTGGAGGAGAGAAGGCCTCTTCAAATCATTGTCTTCCTACCTTGAGATTTTTAACATTTAAGCCTCCTACTTATCATCTAATACCTTGCATTGACTTCAGCACCTGAACAATCCTGTACTCTCAAGTGTCTGGAAATGAATTGTTTTTTTTTCTTTTTTTCCCCCCCTTTTCGTTTCTGGAAAGAGTCTGCAGAGGAAATCAACAATGTTTCCAAGCTAAAAGGTGTTATTACAAGTAAAGCTAAAATCCTCAGTGTGGGGAAAACATGTCAAAATAATCTGGCAAAGCTATGAGGTTGGGTCTTGCGGAGAAAAGGTAGCTCTACTGTGTTGGTTTCAGCTTAATCAAGAAACTGTGTCAGCTCTGGGTCTCAACTTCTGCTGCTGCAGGTCACAGCAGTTCTTCCAAGCATGTCATCCACAGCTTCTTCCAAAGGTATAAAGTTGTCAAACTCTGAATTCCTCAGGTGCAAAATATGCTGTATTTTTAAGAGTGGTGCTGCTGTCCTAGTGCACACTTCTTGGGCAAGGAGTTTAACAAGAGCTGGATGCAGTTTGTGCTGTTAGGTTTTCCCAGGCCAAGGAGATCTTTCCTCCCCTTATGCCAGCATTGGTGAGGAAACCTCACAGCTCTATGCAGAAGTCATACTTTCACTTACTTTCTCACCCTGCTGTTCCTTCTCCCATTTTGCCATCTATAATCCAAAAATACCGTCTCCAATTTAGATTTAGATGCACAGCTGTGTGACTCAATCCCCTAGATAGGTTTGATAATCAGCCTTTATGCACAGCTCCAAGTTATTTTCAGTAGAGGACTGCTGAAAATAACAAGGGAAAAAATTTAAAGAAATTTTAAGTGATCTCCTTTCCCACACCTACGTATTGGGACACTCTGTGGGTAAACATCTCTGAATAAAGCTGTTCTAAATTAAATAAATCACTGGCTTTGGTGAGTATGAAATGAGGGTGGCAATAAAACCTACATAAAATTGCATTAAGATGTTGAAGTCCTATCCAAAATGCAACGGGACTGTTGTACGCTGCTGCCGGCGCACCTGGCCACAGGAGCTGTCTCACAGACCGCTGTATCCTGATGTGGCCCATTTCTGCCCATCTGGACTTGCTGTTCAGATCTCCAGGGCAAACTGTCAGCTCTTTGCTCAAGTGACACCTCGGGAGGTGATGAGACAAAATGAAGTTGCTGTTGTGACACAAAGTGTAGAGAGGGTATGATGAAACTGGTGAAGGATCCGGAGGACAGGTCTTATGAAGAGGAGCTGAGGGAGCTGGGGGTGTTTAGCCTGGAGAAAAGGAGGCTCAGGGGAGATATGGGATATATATCCCATATATCACCCTCTACACCTATCTGAATGAAGATTGTAGCCAGGTGGTGGGTCAGTCTCTAAGCTAGATTCCTCCTGTTGGAGGAATATGCCTCAAGCTGCAACAAGGGAAGTTTAGATTGGATATTGGGAACAATTTCTTCACTGAAAGGGTTGTCAAGCATTGTAATGCTCTGCCTGGGGAAGTGGTGGAATCACCATCACTGGATGTATTTAAAAGACATGTAGATGTGGCACTAAGAGACATGGTTTAGTGGTGGACTTGGCAGTGCTGGGTTAATGGTTGTAATCGATGATTTTAGAGGGCTTTTCCAACTAAACTGTTCTGTGATTCTGTGGTTGCCACAGCTGGACAATATCCAGCTTCAACCCATGGGGCCTCCAGAAGGGTTGTTAAGCTGGATGCTTTTGAAGGGCTCCCAAAAATATTTGGGTTCAGCAGGGAAGCTCTGCTGTCTGCAAAAGCAGAGGGCTTCCACAGAGATGTTTGCTACTGACTGTTATGTTATACAGGCAGTCCAGTTGTCATAGGGCCTTAGGTGAAAAAGAAAAGGCATATTTGAATCTAATTGTGCTAAATAACTTGATTAGTTGAAGCATTTATGATAATTGTATTGAAACCCTCATTTTCATTGATGGGGTTGTTTTTGCAAATTATTAACAATTACAGGTCACCCTTGAGATGGAAGTGTCTTAGAACCTTGTTGTAAAAGCTTTTTAAAAGTAATTCATATCTTATTTACTCTGTCACGAGATCATTTAATGTGCTAATGTACTGGGAATGTCAAGCTGTGCTGACAAAGAGCAGAGTTTTCCTTCCATTCATTGTTATTCCTCTGTAAATATAATTAAGGCAAGAAGTGTCTTAGGGGTGCCTGATCATGTGCATTAAATCAGCTCCCTTTTTGCCTTGTAAGGCCAACACACGCAGAACTGCAAGGTTTCTGGGAAAGAGCCATGGGCAGCTTAGGGCAGCACCTTAAGTACTTGGCCTCTGAGCCCTCACCTGTGCTGGCTCTGTGCAGGCAATCCTTGAGGATTCTTCACTGGGAACTAAATACCTGTCTCATCTTCAGCATGGCAACACACCCAGCAAGTGCCTCTGGAAATACTGTCCTATTTCATGTTAAGTTTGTGCTTAAGACATTCTGAATTTAGGTTTGTATTGAAGCAATAAACATAGAGTCCTGGAAAAATTGGATTTGAGGAATTGTGGAGTGATTCTTCCAAAATTTGTGGGAAAATGGAAGTCTTTTCACTGTCTGCCAAAAGCTTTGTGTTAGACCTGTGAAAGAAGGTATGGAGTGATATCAAGAGCTCATGCATCTGCATGTCTGAGAACTGGAGCCAACAGGCTCAAGCAAAGCTTCCTTGTAGCACAGGGAAGAACACACCGGGGCACACTGAAAACATCCAAGACACAGGGGAGAACAGTCTTTGCACAGAGTTATATCTTAAGGGTAAAGTTTGAAATTTGCTAATTATTCTCTAAAGCACCACAAGGAACTAGCAGTATCCAACAGGAATGAAGTAAAGATAACTTCATCCATCTGCTGGAGGCTTCAGTGTCTCAGAGACCAGGCACTCTGATAAAGAGTGACTTGATCCCAGACTAACTAGCAAGCAATCATTTGAGTTACTCTCACCATACAGACAGAGTAATTTAGGCAGTAGTCTATGCGTGTTGATGACCCCTACAAACCAGACTGGTTTTGATTAAGTGCCCTAGGGTGGTTTCAGATGCTTGATGTAAGACCTTTTCAGATAAGGAGTCTACTGTGACTTGGTCAAACCACTCCATCACTACACTATATAATTTGAAGCATATAATTTGACGCTATGTAATCCATCAGAGTTCATCTATCTCAACTGAAATGACTTTGTACATGAATATATGAAATTCTAATGCTGTCCCATTTTCCAGTTCCCATAAATTAAATGTGTTCAGCAGAAGACTGAGAATGTGTAAGTGAAAGGATCAACTCTCTGCCCTTTTACATTGACAAAAGGTTGTAGCAGACTACAACTAAAAAGTAGTCAATATTTTTATCGCAAAAGACCCTAGAGTGAACACAATAGAAAAAGAGAATTAATGGTATGTTGCCTGTGTATGATGGGACTTCAGAAAGACACCGAAGTGTCAATAACTTGAAATGAGAGTGGCTGCTGTTGTTGCTCTTTTTTTTCTTCCTTCGAACTACTCCAGCATCCTGTGCCAAATAATTTCAACAGCTTCCAGCTATGAGGAAATACGTAGGCAAAATTTACTGCTATAAACATATATTTAGGAGGAGGATGGAGTAATTCTCTGTGCTAATCACCGTGCTGTCAGTATGCTGTTGAATTGTGTTTACTGCATGATGTACTTTGTGTCTGAAACAACGTTGTTTTTCTGTTTCTGTTTATATGGCTTTTTCTACACTAGTTTCACCATCTCAGCAAAATAGCAAATACAGTTGTCTTTCCTGGGTTTCAGCTGAGAGATCAACTGGAATAGCCAGTCAATATAACAGCGCTCACAAAGATGCAGGGATGAAGATAAGGCAAACCATAGTAAGATCGGTAGTATAGCAGCATCGTTACCTTTTTTTTTTCCTGCACTAAATTTTTCACAGACAAGAGCGTTAGTAATTTTAACTTTGATTGAGAACTGCTATTATCCACTCACAGCATGTGGGAGCAAACAGGCACTTGGATAAATCACAAAAAAGAAAACCACTTAGCATGCTACTTCCCTCAAAACCACTTTTCTTGAAGGTATAAGGCTGAGTGCTGCAGGGAGAGCATGTGTGAAGAGAGAAGCAAGGCTACAACAGCCCCAGGAAGCATACTCAAGGTCAGCCTCTCTCACAGAAGACTGGGAGGTCACGTTTGATTTAGAAGGTATTCTGATATGTTTAAAAAATTTAAGTAATTTAATAATTCAGTGAATGAAAGCCATCAGGATCCTAATGCAGTGTTAATGGGGTCTTTCAGAAATCTCGAAGATGATTTTCATGAGTGACATAACTGCAGCCATTAGCAAACTCATCCAAGAGCAATCATCCATTAAAGGTGAGTGCCTGCACTTCCTCAATGCAGAGTGGCGTGAGGAGCAGCACAAGCATTCTTGCTTGCAACAATTGAAATGAGACACCTACAAATAACTTCTGAACTGCCTCATTTTCCTCCTGCAGGCACTCAGCCCTGGGGTATATTTGCCACCCTTCAGCACTGGATGAAGCAGGCAGTGACTCCACCAGCATGAATATGCCTGAGGTCGTCTTCTCTACAACCAGTGCTGCTCCAGCAGATTGCTAGGTGAGGAGTAAATCAGACTGATTTGAAACATGGAGTACTTCTCACATGATCATTGAAAAGACTAAGACTTGCTGGACACTCTCCACAAAACCTCAACACTCTTTTGGACTGGCATTTCCTACCAAGTGTGCCAGCATTGTCAGCAGGACAAAAGACAACTAGGAGTAAGGGCTACAGCTGCTCCTTTAACAATGTTGGGATAGCCTCCAGAGTAAATTTCCAGCTCCTACTGAATCTGACTGGATGTATCTTCTATGCCAGTGCCCTTGCAAAGGACCAAAACCTTTTGGAGTATGTTTGGAACTTTATCTGGGCTGTGTAGAATCCAGCAATAAATTATTCCAACGTGAAGGTCTAATATAGTTAATAGATCATATAAAACTGTCTACTGTGTTTTGTCATATTTAATTGGCTGCAACACCCTGCAGACACTCGAGCTGTTTTAGTTTCCCTTTTATAATCACTGGGTGCCCTGAGAGAATCTCTCCCAGCTGAGGAGTCCCTGTGTCACCAGCACCTCTGCATAAGCAGGTGCTGCAATGCCTCCAGAGCATTTGGCTGCTTCTCATCCTCCAGCATATCCCAAGTGCAGCATCTTCCCCACCACTGTGGGGAGAGCCACAAAGGGCCCTGTGGCCGGGTCATCCCACAAAGAGTGGGCAAGGAGGAGGGCAATGCCAGCCTCTGGCCACCTGTAGCTGCAGTCTCTTCTGGAGTTTGGGATTACTCAGGCTGCACAGCAGATTGGTGCATCTCTCCAGGGATTTATCTGAAGTTATTCTCTAGTGTTTTGTGGTTTATGAGGGATAAGATTCACTACCCCAGCAGCCTGCTCTGCTGCCTGAGCCCCTGAGATAGTGTTTAGGATGAGAGCAGTCACTCACTGGTGTCCCCCAGCCCATGGGATGACCTCTACAACTACCTGAAAGGAGGTGGTAGTGAGGTGGGAATCAGCCTCTTCTCCAAGGCAGCTGGTGACAGGACAAGAGGAAATGGCCTCAAGTGGTGCCAGGCTGGACATTTGGTGGCATTTCTTTGCAGAAAGGGTTGTGCAGCATTGGAATGGGCTGCCCAGGAAGGTGGTGGAGTCATCATCTCTGGAGGTGTTTAAGGGAAGACTGGACATGGTGTTTAGTGACATGGTCTAGTAGACATGGTGGTGTCTGGTCAAAAGTTGGACTTGATGATTGCAGAGGTCTTTTCCAACCTAATTGATTCTGTGATTCAGTGCCACCAAGGATGCTGCAGCTGGAGACAAAGGGTAATGGAGTATGGCCAATACATAGCACTCAAGAGTCTGCCTCTGACCCTCCCATCTCCTTTCTCAATGTGTTCAGGTGCCAGAACAAGCTCCCAGTGGAAAGTGGCTACGCCTTGGACCCACTGGGGAAGTCCTCAGCAGGACAGGACAAACTCAATGCCCCAAACTCTGGGACAGGTGTGCTGATAGGCTGTTCCAGCAGGGGCAGAGCACTCCTGTGAAGGCCAGTCAGGATTTCACATTCCATCAAATCTATTTTGTTTTGTTGATTTCTGAACTCTAAATTCCTCATCATAAGCGGTGCCATGTAAGTCCAGAAATAAACTCAGGTAGTGGTGACACAGAATCACAGCAGCTCCTTTTCTTACCCCAAGTTCTGCTGTGTTACGTTGGTATAATGTCCTAGAGATTCCACTATGTGAAGGAAGAATATTTACCTTGCACAAGCTTTTACCAAGGAAAATTTACTCAGTCTGGTAGGGTCTTCTGGACCATGCTGTTCAAAAATTAACTCTCCATCCAATAAATGTCTCACACAGGTTGGTATATGTTTGCTTTGGAGACAGAGAAGCAGTGTTGCCTGGTGAGCAATGTCCACATTTAATGAAGCAGGAGGAGTATCAAGCCTGGCAGCTTGTCCAAAAAGGATTAATATTGTTGTCTGAGTGGATGCTGCCTATCATCTCTCACTGCAAGCAATGCTGGGCTGGGTATCAGCTACAAAGCTGACAGCATCTAGAAAGTGAGACAGAAGGTCTTCCCATGTGGGATGAGGAAGCCTTAAATGCCATATAAGTGTTGTTCCAGCCCTTGCAGGAGTGAACAGGGGTCATGCAATGTCAGCTCCTTTCCTTTTGTCACCTCAGGGGCAGGTGAGTCAGCACAGTCACAGCGTTCATGGTTAGAACCCAAGTTCTCAAACTAATGAGGGTCTTCAGGTCCTTGGACTTTCAGTAAATATTTAGGGAACAATGTGCTGATTGTACAATTTCATGCTAGTTTTGTATGTAAAAAATATACATAATACACATATTTTTAGTCACTGTATGAGATAATGTATGCTCTTTTAATTTTATAGAACTGATGAATTTTAAAGCATTTTGCTTTGCTATATTCACCCTTGATCCCACAGTAAGCCTGTATACCCAAGCCTGTATCTACACAAGCTTCCTGAAAGCAAATGTCTGATAAAGCAAAAGAAACAGACACTCTCCATTTTCTAGCCCTTCATCTTCCCCTTCATTTGTGTGTCAGAGTAAATCAAGGCTTTGCTTGTGCTGCTGATTAAAGTACTCTGGTTTAATCCAGAAATTATTATTGTTCTTAGTGAGAAGAATACATTTGAAATGCTCACAATAGTTGTAATATGTGTTATACCCTTAAAATCAGTCTTCTACCACTGAGACAGGCACCTGGGGGGAGCATTGAGGGGGTATTCTGGTTAATTTTTTTTTCCATGACCCTTTCCTTGTTGGCATGATATTAATACCTCTTAATTGTTATGAATATTAACTGCTGCAGCAAAATGAAATCCAGGGCAAGACATGTTCACATAAACATTTTTCTCTATAACAAAAGGCTATGTGAATAGGATGTTATCAGCAAGAACCACAGTCTTCTGTGTTCAGTATAACCAATTTACTACAAAAAGGGAAAATAAAAATTTGGTATATGTAGTTTGTAGCTGAAAAACGTATGACTTCTAGTGGCATTCTGCTGAGAATTAGAGCCAAATACTGTCCTTTTTCTTTCTGCATCATACAAACCAGCTCTTGTACACTACTTTCAACGGAGTTTGATTCATCGTGTTTTATTACATCTGCTAAAGGACAACTCAGTCATTACAGTGGGTGAAATTTTGTAATTATTCTATATTTATGTTGTATTTGTGGGTTAATTATATTGTGCTTTTGGGTTTTGACAGCTAATTATCACTAATTCATATAATGACATGCCTTAAATCACTGATATTCAATTATTTTCATAATGATTTTTTGCTTATTCTGTATTTACACAGCACTCCAGACAAGTAGTTACAGTGCCAGTTGTGTGATCTTAGTCGCAACTAAAAGCCTCCAAAAGCAGAGCAATGGTTTGGTTGTTCCAGGCAGTGGACAAAATTAAACATTTTAGCTTGGTTGTGTGTATAGTAAGGGTTTCAGGGGAAAAGTGTGTCTTCATATGGAAGCTACAGCTAGAAGTAGTTACCACTAAGACCCTGAATAATGTAACTGTGGTATCACAACGGTGGCTGTATTTATATGGGTAACCAACAAGTCATTTGTATGTGCTGTCAGCTGAGTGAGTGTCTGGCATTGATCTATTAGTTCCCATGGCTTCCGCTACCAACAGCAAAGTTCTGGAAATAAAAGCAGTAAGTCTCTTTTTCATGTGATTTTTCAGGAGCGATTGACCAGGTTTAGCTTGAGAATTTTGTTCAAACCATGGCCCAGGGCCCAAGTTTAGCAAGAGTTTGCCTTAAGACTGAGATGGTAGCATGAGTTCAATTCAAATACAAACTCACATTACCATAAATGTACTGCAGCAACTTTGGACCCTCTTCCCACATGGCAGACTGAGGGTGAATCAGGCCACCGTGGAGGTCAGAGCTCAGACAGTCTAATATCTGAATGCCTCTTCATCAGCAGGATTTGCACCCAGGACTTGTGCAAGAAGTGTTTTCTCATACTTAGCAGGAGTCTGTCCTTGACCTTTAGGCTGTTGTACACCTCGTGGGCTGTCAGTACTTCATTTCTCCTGCGTTTGCAGCAAGCACACTGGCCAGATGGAAATCCCACGCTCGCAGTCCCAGGCAGCAGGCTCATGCCACCAGCCCAGTGCTTCTCACCAATATGAGACATTTTTGTACATGATTAAGGACCCACAGTACCTTCTGCTACAGAAAACTATTTGTTCAGTCACACAAAATTTTCCTTTCAAACCAAGTCTCGAGCCGTCGTATGAGTCATCTGCATTATTTTACCAGTGAGAAATCGGGTGTATATTCACTAAGGCTTAATCTGAAACCTTTTTGCTCACAGTGGAAGTATTTCCATCGATTTCAAAGGATCTCAGATCAAGCTTCAAGGACTACTAAGTTTTAGCCTGTCAAATTTGCTCATTTGAGGCCTTTATGAATTGCAGAGCAGTTGTGTACAGAACCAAGTCCTGTGGAGATTAAATAGACCCCATTGACACCAGTCTCCTGATACATAATAGCAACAAGAAACAAATATTGACTGGAAAAAGAATGCATGTACAGTGACATTTACCTTGTGTAAAGTGATAGTCTCCATATAAATGCAAATAGCACCATTTCCCCAGAGCTGAATATATGATATTCATCGGTAAATATTTGTGTGTCTTTGACATGTCTCTAAGCAGCAAGATGAGAAATTGAGATGGAAAATGCATTCGCAGGTGAGAATTCAGTACAGATTCTTTTTGCGGTTTTTCTCTCAATGCATTTGGGAGACCTTGAAAAGCAGATGCTTCCTTTTCTAGTTTGTGGTTTAAATGCAAAGCAACGAAACTACGACAGACCATGATGTATTAGGTTCCTGCCAGTAGTTTCCTAACCCTGCCACTCGTGCTGCACTGCGTGGCTGGGCTCCAAGCCTGAGAAACTCCTCAGAAAGAAAAACTAAAGCAGCTAATTAGTTTAGAAGCCTCATACCCATATTCAGAAAGGATTTATGCACCCAGGAGCTAATGTTTCACTGTCTTTATACAAGAGTAG